GATTCCATTTATAGAGCGCCTTTCACATCGGGAGGACGTCCCAAGGCACTGGACAGTTGGGTCAGGACCCGAGCAGGGGGCAAATCCCCAAATTGAAAAAATTGGTCACTCACATTGCTGCTGCATTTCTCCCAGTAAATACACAACCAATCCACTTTATGGTATATCCACTGAAGCGCTTTGAGATGTCTCGACGACGTGATAAGGCGCTGTATCGAAGTCAAGAATTATTGTTATAAATCAACTTCCACTGGGTCCTGACGCTCACAAATGAGGGAGAGAGGATTCCACAGCTCCGGCTGTGAGACTGAATGCCGGCTCTGGGTGTGTGTGTGGTGTGTGTGTGGTCTGGCAATCTTAACAGGGTAATCCGCCTGTGGGGTGGAATACCCTTCAATGTGGACGTCACTTTGCATGCATCAGTTATCCCCGAGCGCTTGAGAGCAGGGAGCGGTGATTGCTGATAGTTATTGAGGCTTGAGATTCTACCCGAAGGTTTATTCCCATAGAACGAAGCGGGGGATCTCACTGCAGGTGTTCTGCCACTCATTCCAAAATTCCGTCAGAACTCGTGTGCTCGCATGCAGCACTCATGAGTAATGGGTCTCCCACACGCTCGAGCTGGTTCAACCCTTGCTCCAGGGTTTACAACCGGGATAAAAACACACGTCAGATCCCGTAATATATTGAAGTTACAAGAAAAAGAGAAGCCTCTCTGTCTCTCTCTTTTATTCCCATGCTAATTTGGATCGTCACCGAGTAGTATATATTTTTTGTCGTTCTCACGCTGTCTTTTGTACAAGTCCAGTATCCCGTTTCAGGATTTGGCTCCTTATTTCCACATAATGGAGAAAAAGAAAACCCACAGATTGGCAGAGGTTTTCTCCCCTCTCCCCCCAGCTCAGCGTCAACCACCACCACTGTTAAGCGCTCCAAGACACCAGCCCGCGTGAAGGGCGCGGTGTAAATGCAAATTGTTGTTGTTGTAAATGCAATCGAAACCTCGGTTTAACATCTCATCTAAAAGGATGGCACAGCTGACAATGCAGAGCTGCCCCCACCCCCACCCACAACCACCAAAAAAACAACTTGCATTTATATAGTGCTCTTCATGCAGGTAGTGTCTCGGAACACTTAAAAGTACTGCACTGGAGTGTCAGCCTGGTCTATGTGAGTTCCAAGCCCCTACGTGGGGCTTGAACCCACAACTCTCTGAATCAGAGGAGAGAGGTGACTGACTGAGCCATCCTGACATACGGAATCCTGTGCATTGGTTGAAATATGACCATCTAATTGCATGGCTAATTCCTGTGGCTAATTCTGTGCAGCTGTTTGGGTGCTTCTCTGACTTCTTTTGATCCAACTGCACATGCATCGAGCACTGAGATGAACTTCTCTGGGTTGGCACTAATGCTCAGCCACTCGATGATTAATTATAGAATACCTATTTGTACAATTTTAACTTCCTTGAGCATTCAGCCTTGTGTCTTTTTTCAGTGTATCATAATAAATAATTTATGTAGCCGACTTGCTTCGCTATTTTAAATTCATTCCGCCTAACTTTGCTTCTGCACTCAAGAGCGTGAATATCTGTTTTGTTCTTTTTTTTAAAATAATCCCTTCAAAAAATAATAATAATAATTTGGTCACTCAATCCACGATTATTTGTGGGACACTACTGTGTGCAAATGGCTGCCGTGTTTCGCCCACAAAATACAGTCAATCTACTTTACAGTTTATTCCGTGAAGCACTTTGAGACTTTGTGAAGACGTGATACGGCACTATATCAAATACAAGGATTATTATCATTATTATTTTGGAACCTTGCACAAGACAACTTGACAAAGATCATAAAGTGCCATGAAGTGTACACTGTATAGTATACACTGTATAGTGTACACTATATAATGTTGTGGAAGGCAGATGGGGAGAAATTATATCTAGGATCATGGGAACATACTTAAGTTTTGAAGCCGGTTTTCTGTGGTTTGTATAAAAAAAAGCTGCTAAGAATTTATCAAATTTCTGGTCACTCTGAAATGCTAAGAAAATAAAATAAGTCTAGATGGAATTTCTACACCTGAATGATTTGTTTTTCATGATACTTTTTAATTAATCATAAGAATAATAATCCTTGCATTTGATACAGCACCTTATCACAACGTTGAGACGTCTCAAAGTGCTTCACAGGTTATACTGTAAAGTGAATTGACTGTATTTTGTGGGAGAATGTGAGGGTGATTGAGGACGTTTGTGTAAAGGACAATGAAGTCCTTTGGATGAGACATTAAACCGAGTTCCCGTCTGGCCACTTCTTGGATCTTTGTGGGACATTGCTGGTTGCATATTGGCTGCCATATTTGCCCACAAAATACACGGTGACTACACTTTACAGAAGATCCTTATAAACTCTTTGAGGTGTGTTAGGTGCTATATCAATACAAGGATTGTTATGTGTAGGTCTATATAATTCTTGTACATTTTCCAAACAAAATTGCTGTCCAGAGTGCTGAAATATCCTTCTATTCTGGAAGTTTTGACAAGTATCAAATTATCAATGTCAAGCTGTGTGGTTTTAGCTGATTAGACTCCAGCAGTTACCTCATCGCACACTCTGGGGTCCACAAGCCTTAGCTCTTGCCAACCTGCGACTAATACTTTCTGGAATTAGGTAAGCACGATGCCTCCCTCCAGGGAGAGAGCGCATTCCATTCCAGCAATCTATCTCTGGGATTTCCATGTGTAGGTGGGATACATGGAATTCTCAGCTTGGTTTGGATACTCTTAAGCACGGTGATGGGTTTGCTCATGTGTTAGACACCCGACTGACCAGAACAAATATATATTGAATTGAGTCCAAACAACTACTTATTAAACCTGGAAGTAGTTTAACTGAGAACTCAGTGAGAGTGCAAAAACATTAGCAAAGCACTTTTCAACAGCACTTTTCCTACCGCTGTCAGAGGAATGAAAAGGTTAACGTATATGGATTGAATACATACAAAATATTCAGCCCCGCTGTCTGAATTCAATTAAGTTTGAGTTATAAAGATCCTTACACTCAACTCGTAACAGATTGTAATTCAGGTTTAACTGATAGCTCCTGGTAATGATTAGTAGGTCTGTCTCGGTACACCGGGTATCAGCCAGCAAATCACTCCGTCTTGCCCCCCTCCTTAGCCTTCTTCAAGTCCCGCCTCAAAACCCTCCTCTTCGACCATGCCATTCAGTCACCCTCTTTCCCCTCCCCTTCCTTCTCCCCCCCTGACCCCAGCTCGGGTCTGAACTGCTGTACACTGTCCAGCGCCTTGGAACGTCCTCCTGACGTGAAAGGCACTATACAAATGTAATCTTGTTGTTGTTGATACATAATGATACATAATCCTTGCATTTGGTTTATAATAATAATAATTAAGTTAACATATCTTGTGCATCGTAACAGAAAATGGACTTTGAGTATTTATTTATATCAGCATTCCAAAATTCCACCTTCTATTAGCGCTCTGTGAACATTATTCTGTGTGAAGGGCGCTGTTTAAATGGTATAAATTGCAAGTTGTTGTTGTTGCAGTTATTTTCTTGAAGTTTAAGGCCTCAAATTGGCTGGCGCGTTTGCCTAATTGAGTTGAAGGATGTTTTGTGAATTTTTCATTATGTTATATTACTCTCAAATGCACTCCCAACTTTCTTTTTGTAGCAGAGTAATTAATATGCAACGTTTTAGTTGACTAGATTACATTTGCATGACATTACCATAAAAGACGCTATTTGTCTCTGATGCATCAACCTCTGATGCTGATGCAAAAAATATTTAATTTTCCTTCTTGTTCCCCAAGCCTCAACCACCACATGACTCATCAACAGAGTCTGGTAGCAGAGAACACAGCCATAATGTGCATTGTTCTTATGCAGTTTTGCTTCGAGTGCACTTCGGGTGTGGGCCTCAAAATTCCCTGTGTCAGCCTGGCGCAGTGGTAGCACTCTCATCTCCGAGTCAGAAGTTGTGGGTTCAAGCCCCCACGTTGGGACTTGGAATAAGCTTCCGTCCAATGGAGTGCTGGAGGTGTGTTGCATTGTCGGAGGTGCCGTCCTTCGGATGAGATGTTACACAGAGGTCCCGTCTGCCTGTGCAGGTGGATGTTAAAGATCCCACGGCACTATTTGAAAAGGGAAAGGAGTTTCTCTCTCCCAGTGTTCTGGACAGCAATCCCCCAAAATAAAATTGGTTACTCACTCCATGGCTTTTTGTAGAATATTGCCGTGCGCAACTGGCTGCTGTGTTTTACCCACAAAGTACACAGTCACTACACCTTACAATATATCCTGTGAAGCTCTTTGAGACATATCAACAAGGTGATAAGGTGCTATATATTCAAGTGGTCTGGAATACTATCCTGCATGAGTGGCACAATATAAATGCTACATAAATATATAAATACATATAAAAAATTGTTGTCAAATGCAAGAATTATTTTATAATTGTATTATTATATTATTGTTACTACCAAAAAAATACAAAATGCAAACTGGGCCTCAGTTTATTTCCCGTCTGGAAGGTGGCACCCCCGACAATGCAACTCCAGCGCTACGTTGCATGAGACTCGATCTTGCATGTTATACAAATGCAAGTTGGTGACGTGTTGCACTGGAGCATCAGTCAGCTCAGGTGTAAAGAAAGCAGCAATGTGTGTAGGAGAGCGAGGGAGATTCTGCGCAACATAAGCCACAGTTTTGGGGCGAGGGCGGCACTGCATGTGCAAGTACAAGACATCACTCAACATAGCGTGAAGGTGCCAACTTCAAAAATTGTTAACAGCTTTTCTCCCAACCCTGGAGGAACTGTAACTCATGGTAAAACATGATGTTAGCGGAAAGATCCTTGTGATCTGAAGTATAACTCTGGAAATATTACGAGACTTCAGAAGGTAATTGCAGGGATGTGCCAACTTGTCTGCCTGATAAAGAAAGTTCCTAAGTTTGCTCAATTTTTCTTTTCCAGCTCCAACTCCAACTCCGAGCCCGAATCTGTCTACACCGTCACCGACACCCACCCCTGAATCTCCGGAGTCCGGGCATGCCAGGAGATGCAATAAGACTGAAACATCCTACTGTGTTAATGGCGGTGTGTGTTATTATATAGATGGTATAAATAAACTCTCTTGCAAGTAAGTGAGTGTACTTTTTAATATTATTTTAGAAGGTTTATTGTTTAATTCGATGTCATCTTTTGATGACGACTTTTGCTGACGACTGTTTCATAAAACTGAAAATGTTTCATTTGCATTTTGAGTACTGAAGGTTTATTTTCCTCCATTAGTGGTAAGTGAGAAATTATCATCATTATTATCGATGATGATGATGATGATATTATAATGGTGTGTGTCAGTTTGCCAGCAATGCGGGAAAAAACAGGACACTGTTTAAGCGTCATCTTTTAAATCTCCAATTCTGTCTTACTTTAAGCAGAAGGCAGGAATGCAAATGTATTGCTGTTCTAACCTATTGACCAAACGCAAAGAATGTGCAATAAACGTCACAAGACTGACACGGGTTAGTGAAACGGAAATGTAAAAAATTGCTTTAAACATGGTACAGGCTATCCCTTCAGTACTCATTACTTATTACTAATAATATTATTAATAATATAATTATTATTAGTCACTACACTTTATAATATATTCTGTGAAATGCTTTGTGACGTCTCAACAACGTGATAAGGCGCTATATCGAATGCAAGGATTATTATTGTTATCGTTATTATTACTTGATATTAATGTTATTGATGAGTAGAATGCTTGTGTGTTATGTGGAGGGTATAGAGATGCCTAATGCTTTGCAACGGTGTTGTTTTGTGATTTCTCTTTTCGCCTGTAAGTTGGAAGAAACGTTCAAACGCCCAGAATATAAATTCCAACTCGCAGTAACTCAGTCCTTGCAGCTAATTCACTAACTGAACAGCATGAGCCCTGCAAATCAGATAATGTAGCTGATGCCGAGAGGTGTTTGAAACCTTTAAGCTATTGCGTTCAATAAGGTACATTCTTGGGACATAATTATTCACTCCCTTACAAGCAAGAAAGACGAGCTCTTTTTTATTTATGGTTGCATCTTTCACTTTGAAGTATAACGTTGTTCAGAGGCAATGTTAACAAATCATTGAGTGGAAACAGATTGGGAACATTTCTTATCTGACGCTGAGAAGGAAGTGATTTCAAGCGTTACCAGGCTGCATTGTTTGGGAATACAGGGAATCATTTCCGTAGGATACTAATTCCCTCACTGACCATAAAAAATTTCCTCACCGATAGACCTTATCTCACACCATTTTATTATTAACTGTTTATTAATAACTGCTCCCAGTTCAATTTCTTGCAGTATGTCTTTATTCTTACCAATTGTGGAGTCCCGTAGTATATTGGTTAGAGCACTCGCCTCGCAAGCGAGAAGATCGGAGTTCGAATCCCGGGCAGGGTGAAACCTTAGGCAAGTTTCTTGACTCCACATGCCTCTGTTTAACTAGCAGTAAGTAGAAACCAGTTTGGGAGCTTATTGGCGGATCGTTTGCTTGTGTAATAATTCCTCCTATCCCCCCAAAACGATTTAATCATTCAATCCACGACTGTTTGTCACTGCTGAGAGAATTTGGCTGCTGCGTGTCACCCACAAAATACAGTCAATCCACTTTACAGTATATTCAGTGAAGCACTTTGAGACGTCTCAGCGACATGATAAGGCACTATATCAAATGCAAGGATTATTATTAATTCAAAATCAATGCTATTGTTGTCATTTATGCAGGATGAAAGATCTCGGGGTCACTTCTGTGGCAAGTTCTGTGGCAAGACTTTAACGGAGCCATAAATTAATTAACAGTGGTTGGGTATTTAAAGAAACCCCTTTCTGGTATCAATAACCAGGAAATAAAACGCTTCACAGGAATATTGTGGACCAGTTGATCAGTGTTTTTCTTGTAATGATAGTTTGTTTTAATAATAATTAATAATAAATAATACTTGCATTTGATATAGCGACTTATCATGTCTTCGCGACTTCTTAAAGTGCTTCACAGAATATGCTGTAAAGCAAATTGACTGTATATTTTGTGGGCGAAACATGGCAGCCAATTGCGCACAGCAGTGTCCCATAAAGTTGTGGATTGAGTGACCACATTTTTTTTAAGGACGTATTACCCCTGGAAAAGTGATGATGCTGAAGTTTTTAATAATGAAGTTATTTGTTAATAGCAATGCCAGTATTCTATAATATACTGTCATAATAATAAATATTAATCATAATTATTCATAATAATTAATAAGCACAATAACTTTATGACTTGGATCCGTCGCCATTTACGCAAGGTCCAAGCTATGTAGGACTCACTAAATCACTCACTGACCATAAAAATTCCATCACCAGTAGACATCTCGCACCACTTTATTATTAACTAGAATCATAGAATCGTACAACACAAGAAGGAGGCCATTCAGCCCATCGTGCCTGTTCCGGCTCTTTGAAAGACTATCCAACTAGTCCCACTCCCTTGCTCTAATCCTAGCAATCTTTTCCTGTTAAAGTATCTATCCAATTCAGTTGATTATTACGGCAGTATGTTATATAATAACGGTATTATTATTAACAGCCGGAAGCATGGTAATGGTGAAAGGATGCCCATGTTATAAGCATGCTCGCCCTCTAGAGAGGCACATTATAACAGCAGCAACCCCTACACTTTGCTGTCCATTAGCTGAGAGAAACATGGTGTGAAAGGGAACTGGAATCTCTGAGCTAAATCTGCGTTGCCGCTTTCTTTTTTTTTCTTTCGGGAAAGGGTTCTGTCTTTTGGACTTGCAACAGCCCCTTGCCATTTGGCTTGTGGTGATATAATCTTCAAATGAATTTTGAACTCTCGCAGCTCCAGCTGCCTCTTGTACATTTCGCGGTGTTCCCTGTTTTGGAATTGCACTTGCAAACGTTCCCAAAGGGAGTGACGAACAGGAGGTTCAGCAATGAATTGTCCCGTCCTATCACCCCCACCCCTCCCCCCTCTCTCTCTCTCTCTTACTCTCATTCCGCCTCTCTCGTACAAAGTCCCACACAAGTAAAATGTCAACCAGAATCACACACTGCCTCACTCGGTCATATTGAGCAAGCTCGCTGTTTCATTCAGCTTCTATGACAGTGTGTATGAATGTGAATGACTGACAAGTGCATGTGTGCGGGCCTTATAAAATCTATCCGGTTAGCACAGCTGGATTTTTATTTGCTTTGAGCATAGCCACCACAGTGGAGAAAGGAAAGGACAGAGAAATTAGTCACTGGGCACAACAACAAACATTGGCAACTTTGTTTGAAACGCATTCAAAAGCCCTTTCGTTTTTAAAGAGCTGAGACCATAAGGTGCTGTGTAACCAGGTTTGCAAACAAACTCATTTCCCTACTATTGTCTGCTCGCTGGCATTAGGCACGCAAGCAGGAGGGAGACAGAAAATGTCTGTGTAGGTTCTTAAACCGAAACCCAGACCAAGTGAGCTTCCGATTCAATTAGATGGTGTAATGGAATCGTCAGCTGGAGAGAGATTTTCTTGTGCCTGTTTTTTGTGCCTTTGTTTTTACCCTCCACCCAAAGCTTAGAGCAAACCTTCTTCTGCACTTGTGAAGCTCTCTCAGATGTTCATTGTCAGATGTTAAGCATCTGACAATGAAGGCATTAAGCCAAGCCTCTGTGAGATGTATAATGATAGCTAAGGTCTGGTTCGTCCTCCAAGTTGCTCTGGCACACATCCAAGCCTCTAGCCAGGCCCAAACTTATTCCAATGCCCTGGGCTGGTGCTGGGAACTCAGCAATTGGTGAATCTGGTCCACATTATCTCATATTTATTGCTTGTTATTCAGTTAATAAACTGCAGAAAGAAAAAGGTTTTGTTTTGATGAACAATTTAAATCAGAACTGACCTTTTCGCGAAACCGCAAAAAAACAAAAGTCTCAAGATGTTTTTTGATAATTAACAGCCAGTTTTGTTTTTGGTTGGGTACAAATGATTTCCATGTGAGATACCATCCATAAGAACATAAAAACATAAGAATTTCCAACGTCCATCGAGTTCGCCTTCAACCATCCTGGCAATCACATTCACATATCATACCCCAAACTATATACTGTATCCCGAGATATTATCCCAACACAAAACTAAACACTGGTGGGAGTGTTCAGTTCTAGTCCATAATTCTGGTCTGTAACAAGATCACCAGGTCCCTTCCTGTTATATATTCTGGGGCCAGGATTGATCTGAGTTATTTCAACCTTTCAGATCTTGCTCCAAGGTTATCGATTTGGATTTTGGCCAGGAAAGGAACTTTACCAAGTTCTTTTTCAAAGAAAAAAAATCTTCCTTCCCAAGCCAAAATTCTGCATAACATGGTGAAGCAAAAACTGGAGGCTATGTGGCTGAAAATTAATTAATATTCAGAGTTTGCTGCTGAATTGGAGGCACTACGGTATCCCTTCTCCGAAGGGACTGTGGGATGGAGTTCCAGAGGATGGGGGCAGAGAGGCTGAAGGCCCGTCCGATTGTAGGGTAGACCGGGCGGGGGACAAGGAGCAGCCCAGAGCCCGCTGAGCGGAGGGAGAGGACAATGCACTAAACTCTCTCGCTTTCGCTCTCTCGCTTGGCAGAAATATAATAACATGAAGAATCTCATTGCATTTCCATGTGGTTAAGAATACATCAGTTGTGTTGTTCCATATCGTATATATCCTTTATATATATTCCCTAGACAGTAATGATGTGTGATCATTTCATAGATCGAATTGAATTAACTGCACATGTTGATTTCACTCTGACCTGCTCCCTGCAACCAGCATTTCACCCACAAAATACACAGTGAATCCACTTTACAGTATATTCTGTGAAGAGCTTTGAGACATCTTAATGATGTGATAAGGTGCTATATTAAATGCAAGGGTTATTATTATTGCTTATTGTAACCCTTACCTAAGTCTGGGTAAAATGCTGCTGCCTAATCACTTGTTAACAACCCTGCCTGTTTTCTCTTGTGTGTTTTTTAATATAAAGTATCGGAAACGTAATCCAAGACCCAATTGTTTTATTCAAAGAAAAGTCTTCCGTTGGACAGTTTTAAAAAATGTTTTGCTTTATCCATTAGTTGGCATTAAATATTCCTTGCATTTGATATAGCTCCTTGACCCGGGTTCGATTCTCAGGCAGGACGAAACCTTAGGCAAGTTTCCTTCCTCCGCACGCCTCTGTTTACCTAGCAGTAAGTAGGAACCTGGTTGTTAGTCAATTGGTGTATCGACTAACTAATCCCTCCAAAAAAGAATGTGGTCACTCAATCCGCAACTGTTCATGGGATACTGCTGCGTGCAATTGGCTGATGATTTTGGCTCACAAAATACACAGTCACTCCACTTTACAATATATTCTGTGAAGTGCTTTGACTCGTCTCAACGACCTGATAAGGCGCTATATCAAATGCAAGGATTATTATTATTATCACTTTGTCGAGTCAAGACGTTTAACAAATGCTGGCAAATGATCACCAGCAGCTTTGGTGCTTTCTCAATATAAGGCAAACGAAATTCCACCTGGGAATGGAGTTATTTTCTAACTTCGACCTGTAGCATTTTGTACCTACATTTGTTTTGTGATTTCTTTCCCCTTTTCCTTCCCCAGGTGCCATCCTGGATTCTTCGGACAACGATGTATGGAGACTGAGCCCTTGAGATCATATAAACCTGATCTAAGTATGTTATCTGTGAAAAGAGTTACATACTTGTAGGTTTGCACCACTGGAGTTAAGAGTAGTTTGCAGCAATATAGCGTGTCAGGGCAAACAGAATGGAGAGCATTAAATTTTTGAGACGTTTCTCTAAGGTTGCTGAAGAGCTCTGTGATCAGACCATAGTGTTTGGGTCTGTGTATCTTGGGTATTGTCGATCTAATGTTAAACCCTTTCTGTCTTGTTTCTCACTCTCTCTCTCTCTCTCTCTCTCTCTCTTCTCTCTCTCTTTCTATCTCTCTTTTTTGCTTGCTTCGTCAGGTGTCCAAATGAATTTACAGGTGATCGTTGCCAACATTACGTAATAGCCAGTTTCTACAGTATGTCTGACTCTTGTTTTCTTCTTAAACTGGAGCATGCTATTGCTGATTCATAGCATGCTTTTTTCCCCCGCTGTTGTTCTCTGCCATTGATGCTGTTGTCTATCCTTCCTATATTTCAACTCCCAACTCTCCCCTCACCCCTCCCTCCCTTCCTCTCCCCTCACCCCCCCCCCTTCTCCAAAGCTGTTATACCTGTTTGACTTTAGAGTGGAAGTTAACGACAAATTCTTAACAAATAACTGTGAACTGGAGGCTGATAGTGCAAGAATTTACCAGGAAGATTGAATAGAATTCCATATTCTCTCTCTCGTAAATTCAGGTATCAATCTTGACACGGCAGATGATTTAATTGGGATATTCCCTATGTTTGAAATCTGCGGCTTTCATCTCGGGAGCAGGTCTCAAAGGATTTCGCTGTGAAGCGCAGTGTCTGTGTGTTTTGTAGATCAAAGCTGCAGCCAGTTTGCGCACAACAATGTCCCACAAACAGCCGTGAAATGAGTGACGGATTTTATTTGGGGGTGAGGGGGTGGGGGTATTCTTGGCCAGGACACCGGAAGAGAGAAACTCCCTTCTCTTTTCAGTAGCGTTGCGAGATTTTTAATGATTCATCTGTGCAGCAGACAGGGCCTTGTCTTATCCGAAGGGCGGCACCTCTGAAAATGTAACGCTACCCCCCCAACACTGCAATGGAGTGTCATCCTAAACTACGTACATGATTACATAGGGGCTTGAACCAACAATCCTCTGGCTCAGAGGCGAGAGTGCTACCAACTGAGCCAGGCTGACACACAAATTCCAAGGTTAGCAGAAATGCAAGCTAACTGATTTTACCGCAATGTGTCGTGACTGTGTGTTGTGCTGGCTGACACACTGAGTAAATAGACCAGGTGTGGAAGCGAGGGATTTCTCCCTGTATATCTAAGACTTGAGGACGAAAGCTAATCTCTGCCCTCGTATTTTTTATTCACAAGCAATAAAATACTTCAAAATGATTGCACGGGTCACCAGCTTTCTAAGACAATTGAATTTATTAATGTTAAATGATCAATTACAAAGTTATGCTCTGGTGAAACCTCCCCATTTGCGGCCCATTCTCAGAACAATTCATTACACTATTGCTACAGAGATTTGACGTGGCATGACACCAGTAGGAATAATTACATCAATCTATATTTTCATTTTTACTGTTGGTATCGTGGAGGTTTCACTGATACCTCCACTGGACTCCTCTGAAGTTATTTTACATCCTGTGGAGACGTTTTATACGTCGGCCTTGATTTCGGTGTTTGCTGATTCAGACTCGTCAACATCAGTGGGATGGAAAAGCTCGCAAGAGGTCACCAGTGAATATTCCATTAACTAAAGCAGATAAACAAGAAAGAGTTTTTTTTTGGTCAGCCGGGTGTCTGACACCTGCGGAAACCCATCACCGTTGCTTAAGAGTATCCAAACCAAACCAACCATACATCCCACCAACACATGGAAATCCCAGAAATGGATTGTCGGAATTGAATACGCACTCTCTCCCTGGAGGGACGCCTCCTGCTTACCTAATTCCACAGGTTGGAAAGAGCTAAGGCTTGGGGACCCCAGAGTGTGCATTGGGGTAATTGCTGGAGTCTAATCAGCTAAAACCACACAGCTTGACATGAATATCATTGTTTGACAAGCTTTCCTGCTGCTTGTCCAGCTAGGCCCACCCTACCTGTTATAACACTGAAACACTTCCCGAATCTCTGTAATCAGCTGCATTTATGTATTAAATCCATCTTAGAGCCAATTGGTGCCCATCTATGGAACTCCATTACCAGGTCCCTCTGACTCACTCCCTCCCTCCTCTCTTTCAAGGTGTGCCTCGAAGCGTACTTCTTCGACCGCGCTATCGCCTTCTCACCCCACCCAGCTACCATCCCCAGCCGGAACCGTCAAGCGCTTTGGAATATCCTCCTCACGTGAGAGTTGAGGCGGTGATTTAATCTGGGTGGCGGGGCAGGGGATGGAATTCCACGTAACACCTAAGACAGGAATGAAGCGTAAACCGGATTTATTAAGCTTGATCCTGAATACATCCATAGATTCTTGACATACAGGACACAGGAGTGTGTACATATGTGATGCTCTCAAAGTTCTGTTTCGTGAGCTGTTACACAGTTTATTTTTCATGGGTAAACAATTTCAGCCTGTGAGTGAGTTTGTTGGGTGCTGAAGTCTTCTCTTTACAGTAGAAGCGTAGCTAGGGATTCGAGGTCTGTGCAGTGCATCACATGTATGATATAGTGGGGAATGATTGTTCCCTTTACAGAATTCTATGCATCCCACCTACACGTGGAAATCCCAGAGATAGATTGTTGGAATGGAATGCGCACTCTGTCCCTGGAGCGATGCATTACTCCTTACCTAATTCCAGAAAGTATTAGGCGCAGGTTGGAAAGAGCCAAGGCTTGAGGACCCCAGAGTGTGCGTTGGGGTACCTGTTGGAGGGGGGTGTTTTCGCTGTTTTTTAAACGGTGGGGTGTGGCGGGGGGGCAGGAATGCAAATACCAACCTTCACGCTGACGCAACATAAAACAAAAGGGAACGACATTGCCAGCTCAAATTTTTTCTGCAGTGCCTTCAGCTCAATATTAACCAACCTTAAGTTTTAATGCTCCACCAAATACAGAGTCACAAAGAAACTTTGTGAAGTACTTTGGTGTTTTATATCACTTGCAAGGATTATTATTCATATTATGTGTAGTCTAGGCTGACAGTTCAATGCAGTGCTGGGGGTGTACTGCATTGTTGGAGGTGCCGTCCTTTGATTGAGATGTTATATCATGTGTGCTTGCATTCAAAACGAGATGGGAGTTTCTCTATCTTGGTGTCCTGGCTGACAATCCTCCAGATAAAATCGGTCAATCACTTCACGGCTGCTTGTGGGACGTTGCTGTGAACAAAATTACAGTAAATGCCATGAGACACTTCGATGATGAGATAAGGCACTATATCAAACACAAAGCAATAATAATATATAGCCTCCTACGGGCAAGAGTGATAGGAGCTGAGAGATATGAATTGGATTTCTTGCTGTGAATCATTCTAGTTCGGGGGAAGGGAGGTTGCATGACTTGACTGTAGAGGCAGAATAAATAGTGTGTCCCAAACACTATCCATGGGCAAACAGCACCACATGATCCTCTGCGGGGAGGTATCTGATGGGTTGATGCAAAAAAGGGGAAAATTAGTTGCCCTTCACAAAACAATTCAACGCGGCAAATAAAATCCATTAGTTATAGATTTGTTCCCAGGGTAAGGCTAGTGAGAAAACGCCTTGTTTTTTCAAGCTCATCCTTCTCCTCATTTCAAGGCAAAAGAACCACACCAAACTGTCTGTCTCCCTCTGTCTGCGCTTATTCTCACTTTGTACCCCTTCTGTCTCGCCATCAGTCCACACATGCTTAAGAGTTAGGACGTCCTTTACAACTGTGAATGTCTGTTCAATACTGTAGCTGTAACACTATACTTAGGGGGAACCTTAGGGGGATTGTTAGGGGATCTGGCATTCAGCCACTTCATCGTAGTCTCTATCACATATAGGCTATCACATAATACTCAGAACAACACTTCCAAATGCACAGAGACAGCAGAACAAAACAGGACATGGGTTTAGAGTTGCAAAGGGGTTATTTCAGGACAGACACCATTAGGCAGTATTTCTTTACCCAGTGACTGGGGAATCAATGACTGGAATAAGGTTGCCAGGAAGGCTGGTTGAAGCCAGAACATTGGGACTTCTTTAAGAAGCAGCTTGATGCTTTTATGGGGGTTGGGTTGGATGGGTGTTTTTTGGGATGGAATAAAATCAGATGAGCCGATCTTGCGATCGTGTGAAAGTGCCAGTGTTGTGTCAGGCCTGTGACCCTCATAAGAAGCCTTTTGTGTAAGTACCTTTCCTGTAATACCAGCCAGGATGTAGCATAGAGTAGATTGCAGAGAGGTGAAGCACATCACAGGACACAGGGTACCTCATAACCCACCAGCCTGGCATTCTGTTCATGAGAAATCTATTCAATATTGCCCACTTTAGCTATCGATGCCCTAAGCACATGGGGGTCCAACTGGCGGCCCACGGGCTGCATCCAGCCCTCGGCAGCCAAAAGGTTGGACCACCCAAGCCCTAGCATGTCACAACTCAATCCTAAATAAGCCTCAATCGTCCAAATTTACAGGTGCGTGGCATATATCACCAGACGGGGAGAAAAAGTGCTTCCTTCATTTGATAGTGAGGTCGTGGTCGTGTGTGTGAATTTTTTTTGCATCCTCAATAGGCCAATCGCTGCTCTTGTGTTTGTGCTCACAGTACAGATATGATAAAACCATCTCTCCCTGTTCACGTCCCATCAAATACAACGCATTTTCCTTAAACTCTGAGACAATTCCCCCTTTATTTAACTGGCTCAGAGTTTTGTTTCGTGTTAAGGGCGGGGGTGGGGGAATGGGGGAATGGGGTAATGGGGGAGGAGGGCAGATCATTTTGCTATTAACTGTGTTCCACCCATTATCTCTCGTTCTGCATGTGTACAAAGCTTGCCTTCAGCAACGGAGCCCACTCTGTCAGGAACAACCAGGGGAAGTCTAACCACTGTGTGTTGAGAGTTAAAGACACACCTTACCGTGTTGCTATATCAAAAAACAGGGATGGTGGGTGGGTGGTGGGTGGGAAGAGAATAATTCGAGCTAACCACATGACACGCGTGTATTTTTGCTATGTTTTAAAAATACTCTTCTCTGAAACTGTTTTTCCTTTTTTCTTTTTTTGTCAACTTTCTGCATTGTGGTAGAGCATCTTGGATTTGAATTTATGGGTATGGAAAACCATTCATTTTAATCTGCAAAAAAAAAGACGAAATGATTTTTTTAAAAAAAAACTATAGATATATATAATATATATATCAATTCAGTAGAAAAAAAAGAGCTGCCTTGGAATTCTAGCCATTATCTTTTGCTTTGAAGCAAACACAGCTGGTTGTATTTAACTCCTTACTGGCCAGAAATAAAGGCTTTCGGTCTGTATCTATAAGCAGTGACATTGAGCTACAGATAAGTGGAGCTTTTTTCCAAAGGCAGCACTCTTTTTGACTCAAGATGAGCTGCAGATGGCCAACTCGAGGTCTCCCCACCCTCCCCTGCCCCCATTCTCCCCTCCCCCCTCTCCCCTTTCCTCCCCTTCCCACCTCTTCCCCATAATCCCCTCCCCACCCTTTCCCCCATCCTCCCCTGCCCCTCTCCCTTCCCCCTTGCCAAATTTACGCTGAGTCACGGAAGGGGGGTTGGGGTGGGGGGCTGGTATTTTGGAACTTGAGAGTCTCATTCTAGCAGGATAAGTTTGTGTCAGTTCGTTAGCTTTCAAGAGGGGCTTATGGAAGGAACCCTCCCTCTCCCATTTGTCACCCTCCCTTTCCCATCCAACCCACTTCTCCCCTTCGCACCCTTCCCCCCTCTCCCCCCCCCCCCCCCCCCCCCACCACACACACACACACACATGCTCCCTCCCCGTTCTTTGAACTGCCAGCTGTGTGTTACTGATTTGATCGTAAATCTGGCCCTCCCTCCACACCGCACTCAAATGTCTTTTGTGGAGTTGGATATAAGATAAACAGTTTTTTATGGCGGGGGCTTTTCAAAATGAAAAAAACTTGCAAGTTACCTCAGTTAAGGAAAACATTAAAGCTGAAACCGAATAGCTCTCATTGACTGGCAGAGAGTTAGACCTTTAACCAAACCACCTGCACCAAATCAAGACTCACTTTGCTGTTAGTGTCAACCCGTCAGATAATTTCTCTGTGTCCCCAGCCAGACTGCGTGGCGGAATTACCGTCATTTTTTTGATGAGGGGATGGGTGAGCGCATAGTTTTCCCCTCCTTTCGTCCCCTAGCTCAGCTATAACACAGGCCTCCTGCACATCCCCCAACCCCTCCGCTCCACCATCAGTGGCCGTGTCTTCAGCCACTAAATTCCTCACCTCCAAATCTCACTGTCTCTTACCACCCCTATGCCTGTTTGTGAGACACTGCTGTGCACAATTGGCAGCCGCGTTCCACCCACAAAGTACACAGTCAATTCTGTGAAGCGCTTTGAGACGTCTCAATGACATGATCAGGCGCTGTATCAAATGCAAGGATTGTTGTTATTATTATTGACCTGTAAAGTCCCACTTCAAGACCTACCTCCTCAACCTTGCCCACGGTCACCTCCCCCTTTCCCCTTTCTCCTCTCGGTGTCCAACCCCCTCTACTGCGCAGCGCTCTGAGATGGTGTAATAATTCATCGATAATCAGAGCAGAGAAAAAGTAACAGCTTGCAGCACTGAAAACCCACACCAGCTTCTGCTTATTTCTCACCCTTGAGCAAAATGAATGATGCTCACATTCGAATTAGTGATGATTGTCAGCACAATTGCGACTCGCACGTTTTGTCAGGACCCATTCACCTTCAGCCCCTCCACAGTCTGCCTCGATCTCTTTCCTCAACCCTTGCTTTTACCAGTCGAAAGCATGCAATGCCAACCTTGTAGTTGACGTCATTTCCTCCCTCCCCCCTCCTCCCACCCCTCTGCACCCAGTGACCAGATATTTGTAATAAAAGTTGCTTCTACGTCTCCCATCTTTCTGTTGTCTATTTCCTTTCTTCCTTTTATCATTGCTGTCAGTGATGCATACAAACTGTGTATTGACTAGTCTCTACCTAGTGCAAATTCTCAATCGGCCTCCTTTAGTAATGAGGTTATGTCAAATATCCTTCCCTATTTTTTCTCAAACGGACCAGTTTAAATTATTAAATAAATCAGAGCTTTTTTTTCCCTGCTCCTCTCTCTCTCTCTCTCTCTCTCCCCTCACTTCCCACCCCGCACTTCCCCCCCTCTTTCCCACCCCCCCCACTCCCCCACCTCCAAAAGAGTAACAATTAGAGTAACTAATCCTAATTGATTTGGAAAAAAATCCCTGTTAGTTAATTTGATGATTTGAGATGTTATCATTATCGTGAAGTTTAGATGCAGTTTTAATTCTAAACTTTCAGTTTTCAGACAGATTGTTCCAAAAGTGTGTACTTTCTTAATATTTTTATGTGCAATTTAATTTTTAACAATTAATACTTTTAAAAAATGAGAAAATTTCTCTTAATCTGTCCTTAAACTTGAAGGTTTACCTGGGGGATAAAAATTGTAGTTTTACGATAAATCCTGCAATTTTTGTAAAGGGTGTTTGTGAAGATTTTGCTGTAAATCGTATTTGCCTGAACGTGTCGGATTGTTAGCGGGAGTGAGGTTTTCTGAGTGACTGATGCAGTGTGGGGTGGGGGGAATTCTTCTTGTGATCAGAGACATTTAATCCCATTTATATCCTGCTCTTCTCTCTCTCTTTCCCTCTCTCTCTCTCTTGCTGTAGAAGCTGAGGAACTCTATCAGAAGAGAGTTCTGACCATCACTGGCATCTGCGTGGCCCTTCTTGTTGTTGGAATTGTATGTGTCGTCGCGTATTGCAAAACAAAGTAAGTCAGTCAATCTCCCAGTCTTTGTCATGACTTCGTCCCGCAAGTGAGAGGAACTGGGTATAATTCCCGGGTGAGGCGAAAAGTTAGGCAGGTTTTCTTACTACACACGCCTCTGTTTACTTAGCAGTAAATAGGAACCCGATAGTTAATCGATTGGCGGATTGCTTTCCGGGGGGTAATAATCCTTTCAAAAAACTAAAATAATGATAAAAATTTGCTCACTCAATTCATGACTGTTTGGGGGCATTGGCTGCCACTTTTGCCCACAAAATATACAGTCCATTCTCTTTCCCTCTGGAGCTCTCCTATTCCTAATCCTATTCTTCGCTTTTACCCTTATTATTTTTCTTCAAGTATTTAACAAATTCCCTTTTAAATGGTGAGGTATAACTTAACCTCGATAGCCATTTGCATAAAGATTCTAACATGCCATTAAAAAAAATCTAAGGCAGGCAAACATTTTGATGACCCACTGGTTGGTGTTAAGACAGATGTTCTCCCAACACAGGAGCCCTCTTGTGATGCTGTGGTCTGACCAAAGAAATGCTCAGCGATAGGCTCAGAAATGGGGTAGCGATCGATCCTTTCAGCTTCCCAACTGAGGTGGTCATTTGGGAAAGAGTAAAGATTGAAGAGGGAAATAGAAGTGCAATTAACAATTGGTTTTAAATCTACTCCTCATTTGGGAGTTGAATTATATGACATTTTCTTGCAGATTCAAAGTGCTAATTATCTTTGAACCCATTAAGAAACAGAGCATCTCTCACCCCTTGGTATTAACAAAAGCCTGCATTAGCTTTGAAGATTATTTTACTTATTATTTTGATTAGACGATCACTGAATCCATGACTGTTTGTGGGACACTGCTGTGCGTAATCGGCTTCTGCGTTTCGCCCACAAAATATACAGTCAATTCAATTTATAGTATATTCTGTGATGCGCTTTTGAGATGTCTCGAAGATGACAAGGATTGCAAGGATTATTCTTATTCTTATGTACAATAACAATAGGACATCAACTTACATTTGTACAGCCGCGCCTTTCTTGCGGGGTAGTTTCTCAGAGCGCTTAACAAGCAGGGTAGTTGGATGCGGAGAAAGTGGGAGGTGTGCGCTCGCGCGTTCGAAGAGAAAAGTCTTCAGTAGCGAAGAGTTCTGAAAACGGGCAAAGAGAACAATTTTAGGAAAGTAAGGTTTGTGATGGAGAATCGATATTCAGAAATGGTGTTAGAATCACAGAAAATGGTGGGGATATAAACTATCATAAGTTTTGCAACATTACTAAGATGAAACTTTGTGATTTTCGTGAGTGCGGGCATGTGTGCGTGTCGCCTGCTCTAACGATGTGTTCTCTGTAACAGGAAACAGAGGAAGAAAATGCATAATCACCTGAGGCAAAACTTGTGTGCAGACCATCAGAACCGAAACCTTGCCAACGGGCCCAACCACCCTGGGCCACTGCCCGAAGACATCCAAATGGTTGATGTACGTTTGTCTCCAATTACAGTGGTGAATGTCTTCACCTGTGCGCTCGCTCAGCCCTGGGTTTAACCTGCGTGATTTAACCCTAACCCTTTACACCATGGGGATTGTTTCAAGATTGAAATTGGGGAGATGTAAAGGAACTCTTCGCAAACGGTTTGTGGAGTCCTGTAGTGCAGTGGTTAGAGCACTCGCCTCGCAAGCAAGAGGATTCGGGTTCTATTCCCAGGCAGGGTGGCACCTTAGGCAAGTTTGCTTACACCAACACGCCTCTGTTTACCTAGCAGTAAGTTTCCGGCATTATCCGGCAGTAATAATTCCTTTAAAATATTTTTATTAAAAATAATAATTTGGTCACTCACTCCAGCTACGACTGTTTGTGGGACGCTGCTGTGTGCAATTGGCTGCCGCGTTTTGCCCACAAAAATACAGTCAATTCACTTCACAGTATATTCTGTGAAGCGCTTTGAGACGTCTCAACGACGTGATAAAGCATGATATCAAATGCATGGATTATTATTATTATTGACTCAAGAATACTATAGTGATTGATGCAGTGTAAAATTGCAACACAACATCTATATAAAAAAATCCTTACAGAATGTACTAGGAAGTTTAGTGACTGTGTTTTGTAGGTGAACGCAATGTAAGATTTGACGTTTTCCTAACGTCTCTGTTATACAGCTCCGATGCCCACTTGCTCACCTCTATTGACCGAAGGTGCCGTGTTTCTCTTGTGTTTGTCTTTCAGTATGTTTCCAAAAATGTTCCAGCCTCTGAACACGTGAGACGGCACGAGACGGAAACCTCGTTTTCGGGGAGTCAGCCATCGTCCACCTCTCATCGTTCTTCCACGGCAACGCATACATCCAGCCATAGGTATTAACCCATTAAGAACGTAAGAATTTCTAGACAACAGAAGACCAAGGTCCATCCAGTTTGCCTTCCACCATCCCGACAGTCGCTTGTCATGTGTCCCAAACTATATACTGTTTCCCGAGATATTATTTCCAAACAGAAATCTATCTAATTTGTCCCTTGAATGGATCGACACTTTCTGCTTCCACCGTCTCCCTAATGAGCCTGTTCTCTAGGTTTATTACTCGCTCACTGAAGTCGGGCTTCTGCAGATTAGTTTTGAATTTACTCAGGTTCAGTCATACACCGTGTCCTCTGGTTCTCCTGTTCAGCACGCTTCTATTTTAAGAAAAATACCAACGCTTCTACTTTTTTTTAAAAAAGGCCAACAACTCCATCTCAAACAAATACACACCCAACACTTCTGGAGTTCCTGTTGACTCTCAACTGCCCACCCAACCCACAACACAGCACAACATCCCATACCACCCCCCACCTCTTGTCCCATCACAAATCTGATGTTGACTCTCACACAGCTGAGCAGATCTCTATGTCCCGAGAAACTTCACAAGATTGGTTTGGATGAAGAAGACCCTTTGTCCCGTCTGACCTCATCCCTCCAGATCGCCTGCCTCCCCTTCCATCTCTCCCCCACCCATCACAGCATCCAGCGTCCCAGCAACATCCACCCGTCCTGCCGACCCCTTGTTAACTACCCTCTGGGTAAAGAAATCCACGACTGTTTGTGGGACGCTGCTGTGCGCAATTGGTTGCCATGTTTTGCCCACAAAGTACAGTCAATTCACTTTACAGTATATTCTGTGAAGCGCTTTGAGATGTCTCGAAGACGTGATAATGTGCTGTATCATTATTATTATTATTTTTATAGAAATACTTCCTGGTGTCTTGTCACTTCACAACTCCAACCCCGTGTCCTCTTGTCCCGGCATCTCTTTCCCGCAGGAATGGAGAACGGACGTGGAGCGTGGAGCAGACAGAGAGCATGACCTCGGAGATGCACTCCGGGATGATGACGTCCTCCTTAGACACCAGCAAGTGTAACAGCCCCGTGGAGCCGCGAGGCAGACTGAGCGCTGTGTGCGGCTTTCACGACACCAGACACCCCATGCTGTACTGCCGGGACTCCGTGGATTCCCTCCGAGACTCTCCTCACAGTGACAGGTGGGGACGCCAGGACACAGTATTAGGTCTTTTATTAACTAACTAAACTAACATACCAATCGGCTAATTAACCCACTGACTGACTGACTAGCTAGCTATCGCTCTGTGGTAGCTGACCTGCCCTCTAACACAGACTGCTGTCTAGTTGTTACTTGATGCTGTTCTGACGCTCTCTCGGTTCCCCTCCCCTCACAGGTACGTGTCAGCGCTCACCACGCCGGCTCGCTTGTCTCCTGTCGAGTTCCACTACTCCCTGCCAGTGAGGGCGCCCAGCTTCGAGCTGTCTCCCCGGGTCTCTGCCCCCGGGTCGTCTCTGCCGCCCACAGCGGGGGGCTACAGGGTGGAGGAGGAGCAGCCGTTACTGCGGAGAAACCGCCCGTACCCAACAGACAACCAGAGGCACGACCCTTACAAACAGCGGAGAAACTACCTGCATGACAGCTTCGGGAGCCTGCCCCCCAGCCCGCTGAGGACTGCCGAAGACGACGAGTACGAGACCACTCAGGAGTACATCCCAGCAGCGCTGGAGCGGCCGAGGAAAGTGGCAAACAGCAGCCGGAGGTGGCGGAAAACAAAACCGAACGGGCACATCTCGCACCGAGCTGAGTGCGACTGCGATTGTGACTCGGACTCGGGGACGTGCAGTTCTGACAGCGATTGTGCCGTTGAGAAAGTGGGGGAACGCACCCCTTTCTTAAACTCCCAGAACGCGCCCGGAGCCAGCACGACGGAGCAAACCTCTCTATTCCGACTGCCGGACACCAGGACTTTCCCATCGGAACGGCACAACCCCAGGGAGAGCTTACAGACCAGGACCGCGCGGACACGGTCGAATCGAGACTCAGCCGCCGTGTAGAGCAAAACAAAACAAAAAACAAAACACACCAAACTCCGCAGATCCCCAACTGTAAAAATATTTTATTTTATATAATTATCAGATATTCTACAAAGGAATTAAATTAAAAAAAAAACATTTTATTTTCATTTTAGCAAAGTTGTCTTCTAGCTAAAAAAAAACAGGAAAAGTCTTTTTTATAGGGGAAAATAATAAAAAAAAATAAAAAAAACAAAAAAACCTGTATTTATATGTAAAAAAAAATAATTTACAGTTAAAGACGAGGATGGTGTGCTAATTTTTCACATCATGGTTAAGTAATTTGTGGTGCCTTTCGCTTGCTGATAGCAGATTTTCTGCTGTTAGTTTTCTCTCCCATGGACTTGTCTTTCTCAAAGCCCTTTAACTTCATTTACATTTACTGTGGATTTTATTACTTTTGGACATTGGGTTTCTTCTGATCTGGGACACACACACACTCACACACACTGATACACACACACACAACACACTGATACACACATAAAACACACACAACACACACTGATACACACATACAACACATACTGATACACACACACACACAGCACCACACACACACAAATGCATGGACACAGATACTCACACTCTGTCACACACATACTCTGTCTGTGGGTCTGATTTTTTTAAAATCAAATACCTTTTGTTAGGGAGGGTAGATTAAAAGTCGTCATCAATATTTTTATTGATAATAACAAGTAATTAATAAAGAACTGGCTGCCGCATTTCGCCCACAAAATACAAAGTCAATCAATTTTCAGTATATTTTGTGAAGCGCTTTTGAGACGTCTCAATGGCGCTATATCAAATGCAAGAATTATTATTAACATTAAATAATATTTTTTTTTGCTGCTCTGTATTCGCATTATTAATTTTTTTGTGGGGTGGGGGAGCACACTCACACAGTGCGTGTTGTGTGTGTGTCACAGCCAGTTCAAGCCTAGAGGTTCACGTTTGGGTGGGAGGGAGGGAGTGGGTGGGTGGGTAGGTGGGCGACCTGGAGAGGGGATGGGAAACATATCTGGACTTTCCTATTTGTTGTGAGAGTGAGTTTGTTCACTTTTCTGATCGGTCCACCAAGCTTAAAGCTCGTAGATGAATCTGACACAGCGCCATGAGACCCCACTGAAAGGTCCACCATTTTTGGGGTCGTTTGAGTTTCCTTCATTAGTCATTTTTTTTGTCCAAAAGTATTTTCATCAGCAAAGTACAGGAGCAGATTTTGACGAGTTTACAACACTCACATCGACAGACACAGTAACACACACACTACACACACACACACACACGCCTTCCTGGTTGCAGTGCTGCTTTCAAAAGATACTTTGAAATTAATCTGATTGGAAACTGATCAAAATTAACAAGCAACAACTTTACAATATGTATTTTCTCTTTTTTTTTAATCGCTGAGAGTTTTTTTCTCTCTCTCTCTCTGGAACACTTTTTTTGCATGTCTTTTAACCATTCCGATTGGACTGATGCATGGTGAAGCTAGGAATGAGAAGATTTATAGCATATTTTTAATGAACTAAACTTGCGTAAATTTTCATCGAATTGTTTCCTTTATAAATGCAGGTTTTACTATGGGTTCTCTCGAAGCTATAGGATTAAAAAAAAAGAAAAAAAAAACTTTTATTGGTTACATTTCAACTGTGTGCCATGCAGGGCTGTGAAATATTGGAATTTAGCATTATCCATTTTGAAATAAACCTATATTCTTTACTTTCATAATGAACCCCAATGCTTATTGTAAGAAAATATCCACTGCATGCCAGAACACGATGCGGAGTAACTTTCTCTCTCCAGGACTCCAGGCTGTCGTTCCCAAACCCAACAATCGCTCAATTTTTTCCCAAATCTGTGCCCTCGACGAACCAGTTTCAAAGATTCCCAAGTGCCTATTGCAATCGGTTTGTTTTGTGACAAAAATAAAAGAAGTGGGTAACACAAGCGTGAGGACTGTGTTTCCCTCTCTCTGGTGTTTCGAGACGGGTTTATGTGACAGCAAGAATATTCTACTTCAAAGCAAATTAGATTGGCTGTTTGCGGGACTCCACTGGGCGCAATGGGCTGCCGCGTTTCACCCACAAAATAAACAGTCAATTCACTTTACAGTATATTCTGTGACGTGCTTTGAGAGGTCTGGAGGATGTGTTAGGGGCTATATCAAATGCAAGGATTATTATTATTAATTGTGACCTGTTACGTTCCGCCAGAAGGCTTTAGCTGCAGGGTTGCACTCTGGTGATTCCAATGTTTAGCGCTATTGACTGGTTTCTGGCAAGCAATCTAACCCTTACCGGTTTATTATCAAGGTTTGTTGGTTCAAGTTCCCCGGGTTTGTAGATGTCACGAGGACTTTACTGAAGAGAAACACCTCTTCCCCTCTTTCCTCCTCCTTTTTCAATGTGGCAGGGGTATGTTTAAATGCCCCATGTGAACACGGTATTTTGCCCACAAAATATACAGTCGATCGACTTTACAGTGTGAAGTGCTTAGATGTTTTTCCACACAAAGGAAAGTGGAAATCTGGAACTCTCTTGTATCTTGTAACTTGATGCTTTCGGTTCCGGTTGATGTTATGTTGTCCAGTTGCAACTATCCATATTAACGCCCAAATATTTTGATGTTAATATGGATAGTTGCAACTGGACAACATACTTATAATAATAATTAGCACCTTATGATGTCATCGAGACATTTCAAAGCGCTTCACAGGATATGTGGGCGGTTGGAGGGAGTGGGATGGGAGTGGATAGTTGGCCGGGAGACCTGGGGAGAGAGAGAGAAACTCGCTTCTCTTTTTATTGACTGCTGTTGCATTTGTTCCAGGTAAGTGTCAATCCCTTTGCACCAAAATAGTTCAGTTAATCCACACCTATATTGTGTACCCTGTCAGGACCGGCCCAGGCTGTGTGTTCACTGCTAATGCAAGTTTATTGGTTCCTTTTGTACACTATGTGAATGCATCTCTCCCCACCAGCCCCCCCGCCCCCATTCTATCTCAGAAAGTTAAAGTGAGTTTCTCCCAATGTCCTGGCCAAGAATCTCACTGCTAAATAGGTCATTCCTGGCTCTGTGGGATGGACGTGGCTATGTCACAGCTCGTCCCACACAACCAATCGCTGCTTGTCAGCCATCACCTGGGAAACATTTCGAACCATTTGCAGAGTGACCAACTGAAAGGAGGGGAGGAGGATAAAGTGAGTGGAGACACAAGAAAGGTAGGAGATGGTGGGTAGGAGAGAGGAGGTGAGTGGTGGGAAGGTCCCAACAGAGGTCGGCTTTTGGGAATCGGCGATAGAGTGGTTGGAGGTGCAAGGATTTTGTAAGGATTCCACAAAGAACATTGGCAGTGGCTGAAGGCAGACAAGGTGGGGCTACAAGGTTGGGCTGTGTTTGTGCAAGTGTGGGTTTGTTTAATTGCAGTTTTTTTACTCCAGGAAATGATGGGCAATTGAATTTTGGAAAAAAAAGTCGCAGGCGAAAACTAGTAATAATGTGACGGCTTCAAACCCTGATGTTGTCAACAGTGTTTGCTTCAGGGGAACATTGCTGTGGACTGTGGGGTTGTAAACTATGTGGTTTTGGCTGATTAAACTGAGGCAGTATCTCCCTCACTTTTTAACCCACCACCTTCCCCCTCCACCAACTCCTTGGATCCCCCCAAGCCTTGGCTCTTGTCAACCCACGCCAAACACTCTCCAGAATTAAGTGAACAGGATGTGTCCCTCCTGGAAAGGCAATCCTCGGAGATGCCAAGCAATCCATCCAGCAATCTTTTTCCAGAAAAAAGACAACAACAGGTCCCAGATTGTACTGCAATAATAATCCTTGCATTTGATATAGCCCCTTATCTCGTCTTCAAGACGTCTCAAAGCACTTCACAGAATATACTGTAAAATGAATTGGCTATGTTTTGGGGCAAAATGTGGCAACCAATTGTGTACAGAAGTGTCCCACAAACAGTCGTGGATTGAATGATCAGATTATTATTTTTTGAAGGGATTATTACCCTCGGAAAAGCGATCCGTCAAACAACTGGTTATTACTTACACCTGGGTAAACAGAGGCGAATGGAGTAAGGAAACTTCCCTACGGTTTCGCTCAGCCCGAGAAACAAACCCAGGTCCTCTCACTTGCTAGACGAGTGCTCTAACCAATACGCTACAGACTCCACATGAAATATTGAAGAGGGTAATAACAAGCAGATGACAGTTCGGGATGGATCGTTCCCCATGTAACATTCTGGTTACATCAATGTCATTACATTGCCCCCAAGTTCAGAACAGGGCCAACGGATGTTAAATCTTTAAATTATTTACTTGTCCGTACACAAAACCATCCTGACACAGCTATTAAGAGCGATCTAATAGCAAGGCTTTGCTGATGTGCTAGCAACCGAGCAGCAGCACGTGACACGAACCTTAGGCTAAGAGATGAATTATACAGCACAGAGCAAAGTATCGTTCAGAAATAGGGACTGAACGTTTCTGAGGTGCCCGGAACTCTCTCCGCGAATCTGGTGGTAGCGATAGAGCAGGAGAAAGAGGGACAGTGAACTGGTCAGACGCACATAATCTCATCAAAATAAAAATAATCCTTGCATGTCTCAGAGCCTTATTAAATCGCTGAGACGTCTCAAAGCGCTTCAGAGAATATACTGTAAAGTGGATTGACTGTGTATTTTGTGGGCGAAACACAGCAGCCAATTGCGTACAGCAGTGTCTCACAAACAGTCATGGATTGAGTGACAATATTATTTGTTTTAAGAGATTATTAGATTTACAGTTTTGTTCCCTGAGCTCCCGTCAACGCAAAATGACATCTATTTATTTTTAAATATTCCTGCGGCTGATGTATAATATCTTAACCTGCGTTTAAAACCTCCCAACAATATCGTATCTATAAGCCTCAATCAATAATTAATCGTGCATTTGTAATTGACTTTTTTAAAAACTTTTTGTAATGCTTTTTTTTGTTGAGGGGCTTGACAAAGTGAGTTTTATAAATATTAATAATATCAACAATTATTGAACAAAGCACACAAGTGGGGATGGAACCGGAAAGAAAATGGGTTAAAAAAACAAAATAAAACGATAATAAATCTGATTTGCACAAATAACAATAATAATTATTCATAATAATCCACAACAACAAC